TAAAAAAATAATATTTGGGGATTTAGCTGTTAATCAATATGGTAATTATGTATTCAACACCTTTTAGAAAATGGAAATCAGCAACAACATAATTTAGTTATTTCAGAAATGAAAGGCAAATTCTGTGAGTATTCAATGAAAAAATATTCAAGTAATGTTGTAGAAAAATGTGTTCATTGTTGTACTTCAGCTCAACGTGATAATTTCATTGATGAAATTTGTTCTAAAAAAGATAATGAGATGCTTCTCAAATTAATGAAAGACCCTTATGCTAATTATGTTATTCAAACACTAGTCGAAGTAATGGATGATGACCAACGCTCTAAATTTATTGAACAAAATATTCTTCCAAATGTTTCATCGTTAAGAAGAGTTTCATATTCTAAACATCTTTTACAACGACTTAATATTCAAGTTGAAAGTTAAGTTAAATAGTTATTTTTTAAATAAGTTTGGTTTATTTCATTTTTTTAATAGAAACAAGATATTCAATCAGCAAAGTTCTTTGTAATATTAAATATTATGTGTTATAATGTATTTACAATAGACATTATTGTTATTAATGAATATACATTACTTTTATGTTATGTTATTTTATTATTGTTTGTATTGATTTTATTTTTCATTAAATTTGATTTATTATTTTATTTTTTTTTTATTTTACAGATCCTTTTAACAATATAGAATATACATCATATTTTGTTGCCATGGCTATTGAGTATTGTAATAGAGTCTTGTAATGAAAATCAAACAACAAACAGGTATTCAAGTTCAAAGAAAAGAAAGAACTTCAATAACAATAAAATGAATAATAATTATGATAAAAGAAATAACAAGAAAAAAGTGAATAGAAAAAGAAGAACACAAAGAAAAACAAATAAGAAACAAAGTAAATATAATGATAATAAACATTATACAAATAAGAGATCTAAGTTATTAACAATAAATGAAAATGAAATGAAAAATAAAAGAATAAGAAGTGAAGTTGTGAAACGAGAATAATTAAAAATACATAAAAAATAAGAAGATAAAGAGAATGTATAATTCTCCAAGAATTATATTCAATAATAAATACTAAAATAATAAAGAAAATCAAAGAAGAAAACAAATATAAAACAAAATAAATGAAGAATATATTAAAACAAATGAAAAATGAATCAAAAACAAAAAACAAAGAAATGAAATAAAACTAGAAGAATAAAAAATTAAAAATAACATAAATAAAAACACAA